TGTATCTGTAAGATTCTGAATTTGACAATAATCCAGTGAATCTTTAGAGGCTGTGAGAGTTCTTATACTCAAGCATTACTATTATTTTATTTGCTGTGTAAATGTTGTGTATTTCAAAATTTGCTTCTTTTTTTTTATCATACATGCCATTGTTATTCTGATTACCTTAACCCTTTTTGCACAAAGGGAGAAGAAATAATGTCAAAGAAGCATCTTTCAGGATGTCTTTTGAGGGACTGGTATGTGTCTTCTAGTTGTGACATCTACAGATTCAATTCTGGCCCAAAAATTAAATCTTTTTGGATAATGGTTGTTGCAGAGGACCATCCAGTTGTGTCAAACTGGAATAACATGTTTTTAAATTTTGTATTTTTATATGTTTTACACCTTAAATGGGTAAATGTCTGCTTGTCCTGCAAACTATGTTTCAAATAATTGGAAATGCATTTCTGATTTGCATTGAGAATGTAGTTGGTGTAAATAGCTCTAAGTGTGTAGCACCTGAGAGACATTTCCTTTCAGATTTTAGACGGATTCCATATCAGTCAGATAGCTTTTATGCAGAGTTATTTGTGTAATAATATATGTGATTATATAAAGAAAATACCCCTAATTTCTTTTCAATTTCAAAAACTTGCTTCGGCAATACCTACTGAAGAAACATGTCCTCACTAATCATAAACATGTACACATTTGTTTGTGCATATTCTGTAAATGTTTAAACTTTCTTCCTTCTCAGTCGTATTCTTCTTCTGGCTAGCTCATTGGGAGTAATTCCACTCAGATGGTCCACAGTCATACCCAGCTCAGGGCATGAGAAAGTTGCACTCCAGTCAGATGTTACTAATCCTGTGATGAGCATGGGATAGGAGATTGGGTCATCCTGCCTACCCTAGACATATTTAGGGCTCCATCTCCTTTGTCGCCTTTATTTCTATCTCCTCCCTTCTTCTTCTACCACTACATCATCTTCTCCACCATTTCCTCCTCTTCCTTTCCCTTTCCCTTTCCCACTCTTCCCTTTCCTTTACCCTTACCCTTACCCTTCTCCTGTCTCTCTTCTTGTTCTCTGTATGTAGTGTGAGAATTTTCCTTTTTCTGTTCATTAAGATATTTAATGAATACACAAATGTTTTTATTTTCTCTCTCATTCCCTTTTCCCCTGCATTGCTTTATTTTACATTGGTTTGTTTTAACTGATTATCACCAGGTACACTCATTGTCAACTATATTTTTGTTTAACAATTTTGCTTCCACATTGATAGTTTCTGAAGCAGTTGGTGACCAAGGAGTCCGTTATTAGGCCTGTATGATCTCACCTTTTTACCTCATTGCTTGAGGTTTTTTAGGGGGAAAAAGTTTTTACTCTTCTGGAGCTATATCTACACAAGCAAAATTAATGAACTAAAACCCACAGTGGACATGGCATGTATGTATACCTTCCTGACATCAACAGGTAAAGAGAGAGGGGGGGGGGGGGGGTGCATGATGTAAGAGAAACATGATAATGCTGTATAATAAGCCCAAGCTTTACCAATGTGTATTTAAAAATCCATAACTGTATAACCCATTTGCCCCATGTGGCAAGAATACATGCCATGCCCACTGAAATATACGTTTATTTATTGTATTTACACATAGATGGCTCTACAAGTTCTTAATCACCAAATAGCCAGTTATCAGAACTACCTATCTTACCTGTTTATCCTTTTTCTTCACTTTAGGAAAGGGTCTTATGTATCATTTCATTGTTTGAAATATTCTAATGACAATTTAATAATCATAACATCAATAACTATCATAACAGTATCGACAGCAATAGTATTAATAAGAAAAACACATTTTCCCGCCAATTCAAGGAATGGGAAATTAGGATTGGTAACTAGGGATTACTGATAGACTCCTTGCCAGCTGAGTACATGTGGAGCTATCTATATGTAACAAAATTCACCAAAAAATACAGGGGACAGAACATAAATCTGAGGCAAAATGGGTTAATCTAAGGAAGCAGTATCCTTTTTCCCTTTTAAAAAAATGGGTGAAGAAATATCCCTTATCATTTTTTAGAAAAAGGGGTTGCCCTATTCTGTCTTAGTAATAATTCATGTATTAAGTGATTCTAATCTCTGTAAATCATCAGAGGCTTTGCACACGCACACACACATCAAGGAAAGAAATAATCATGGTTGTGAAAGATATGCACAGTGCTGTAAGCATCTGCATTGTAAAGCTTTATATACAGTCAAAATGAATGTGATCTCTCATGCGACAAGGAACTCTAAGCTAAAAAATATTTATTTCTGCCCAATATTGGCACGACTAATTATAAAAGTAGTCCAAAATCCAAAATTTATGTTTTATGCTTTTATTTTCAATACATATATGCCTTTCATTAGAGATAAAGAAAAATTTAATTGCCTTTTCAAAGTGGACCTTATGGATGTATTAAATTATTGTATGAAGATGCATAAAAGAGGAAAATAATGTTAATCTGAGCATT